CAGTAGGGTGATTATCTAGCTTTCTCTAATGGGCCATTAAGCTGGTCCACAAGAGAATGTGAAAAGTGAGTGAGGCTTTCCCTCAGAGGCCAATTAGAAGTGTAGAGCAGCATGCTGGGTGCACTGTCATCTCCATCTCTCTGGGTGTGCTGAGAACGATAGCAGAAGCTTCTGGGAGAAAAAAGACACAGTAGGAACCTATTAGACTACAACCTGGCTTTTCCCATGATGCACTGGGGGTTTTTGCTGAGAGATCAAGCCCGGTGGCATGATCATAGCTAGCTCAGCAGATTTTCTTCCAAGGGTGGGTGATAAAAATGTAACATTACGATACTTGACATTTTCATAATCCACAATATGCATCATGATATTTAGTCTTTCCAAAGTTTGCAACAAAATGCAAAGGCAAAACAGTATTTCCACTTTAAAAAAGGCTAAGACAAACTATGAGTCCACTGACTTACTATATACTGGTTGTTGGTGTTTATTAACTCTCTACATTTAGTGTAAATCTAAGCCTGACTTTACATGGTGAAAGTTTCATGCAACTTTAGTTGCTTGAAACCTACATGAAACTAAACTGCAGTTGAGTTGCACAATGTAAAGCATCCTGAAACTCAGCTGAAACAGCTGTAAGCGTTACAACGTGTGAGGATGTCTAACAACATTCTTTCAGGCCATTGATTTAACCCAACTGATGGACAAGAAAGTTGACAGAAGATGGTTTATTGGCCAGTTGAAAAGGAGACCCACCCCTCTGACTGACTGAATGTTGGTAGTTTTTCACTATGTCGGTTTTGGTTATCTGAGCCATATCAACAAACGTTTCTCAAAGATAACATTTCTGTAATCAGCTGTGTTAACTAGCCAGTTAGTGCTACAGCGATTTAAACGACTGCTTGTACCACTGTTAATTATTACTATTCTAGCCTGTTGTTATCGTGATCTATGTAGCACGATTCATTTTCTCCACTCATTCATTTTCTCTCCCCCAATTTTACACAGAGCTCAGATACATTTGAAATCCAAAAGATGAAAATTATTGTAGATGATGAGGCCGAGACACAGCCCGCAATGAACTTGTGCTTCTAGGACAGGATGAGCAAAACATCCAGTAGACTATAAGCATAACGGCTACTTATTATTTTCAAAGGTTTAACATACACACAATAGACAAAAAACTCAAATCTACAGTGAGGAACTCTAAATAAACAGATACACTGCAAAAAATGGTATCGTCAAATAAAATGAATCTACTCAATCTAATATTTCTCCTGTTGAGATTATTGTAAGCTTAGTTTAAGATTATTTTAACTTGTTTCCAAACATTTTACTTATTATAAGTGCTTTTATTAAGTACATTTATCTCACTATATCAGCAGATAATTATGCTTGCTTTAAGAAATGTGCCTGAAACCAGTAAAATTATCTGCCAGTATAGTGAGATCATTTTTCTTGATAAAATTACTTAAAACAGGTAAATAATGTCTAGAAATAAGCTAGATAATCTTATAATAAGTCCATAACCATCTAAAAATAAGAAATATTAGATAGATTAACTGGAGTTAGGATAATTTCACTTGACAAGATACTTTTTTTGCAGTGTAGAAGACAGATATGTAGAGTCAGAAAAAAGGAATGGCAAAGAAGCCTGGAAAATATATACGAAAATAATACAAATTCTGCAAACATGTAAATTACACCTAGTGGATGACTTTACGGCAAGAACAATATGGTGTGTCAATACACACACACTGCTAATTTGGCTATCTAGTGGAGTTAATGAATGTGTTTCAAGGACATTTTGATTGTTTTTGAATTGCTTTGTGTGGCTGTCAAGATGCATGGAAATTATCATGCAGGCAACTCATAGCACGCAACAAGTTGCATGAAAGTTTCACCATGTAAAGCCAGCCTTAGTTGGCTTTACACTAGTTAGCCAAATTTGCATCTTGCATTTGTGATACAGCATATCGCTCTCACTATTTAAAGCCTTCCGTGAGGTGTAATTTACATGTGTGCAGCATTTTTATCATTCTTGTATCTATCTATCTTGGATTCTTTACTCTATATTTGACTTTTATGTTAAGTCTTTGAAAATGAATGCTGAAGTAGCCATTAAGGTAGTACTTGATGTTTCGCTCATCCAGGCCTTGAAGCACTAATTTATTGCAGACCACGTCTCGGGCCTCCTGTTCTATCCATCCTTTCGATCCCAAATGAATCAGAGCTGTGTGGGTGTCTAGAGAGGAGAAAATTAATCTAGCAATGTAAAGCACAATAACAGCAGGCTAACAAAGAATAAACACTATACAAGCAGCCATATAAACATCCATGAGCGTATGCTGGCTAACTGACGCAGCAGGTTACAGAAATCTTAGCTTCGAGAACTCATGTTTCTCTCATGGCTCAGGCCTGTTGCGGCCGAGTTCCAAATGAGTTGCAGGACGCTTTACATTGCGCAACTCCAGTGCTAGTTAGTTTCATGTATGTTTCAAGCAACTAAAGTTGCACGTAAGTTTCACTGGGCAAAGCCAGCCAGCAAATTTGATAAACTGCCCGACAGTTATTCTCTCTTCAGAAGAGAGTTACGGATACATTTTTCCTTTCCCACAGCTTGTAGCATTGCTGGACGCGGTTTGGAAGAAATGACACATGCTCTCACTCTGTGTGGGTGTATGGCTCAACCACAGGACGCTGACGATTAATATGGGTTGTGTCACTGAACTCAAATATTGGCTCCTTCTCTCTCTGTCTGTCTACTCACACTACAGTTAAATGTCACAGTGCTCTAGGGCTGCAGGATATGGACATACGATATTATGAATATACTGCTGTGTATTGTGGTCAACCAGTTTATTAGATACACAGACCTTGTGCTACCCTGTCATGGCCATTTTATCAGAAACACATACTGTATGGATGCACTTTGTAGGTGTACAGTTACAGACTGAAGCTCATATCAGTGTCACTGCCATGCTGAGAATGATCCACCTCCCAAATATCTGGTCAGCGGTGGTCTTAAGGTGGTCTCATTTCATTGATGAATGGAGTAGAGGGGCTGATAAATTGAGCAGCAACATACAGTATACTGTAGGTGTACCTGGTAAAATATAATAGCTACAGTCTTATTCCACTGTACACAGTACCAGAATCATTGGCACCAGAAAACTAGAACTGTTATTTTTTTCCATTGGCCATCAGTGCATCACCAAAGGTTCCAGCTTTATGGTTTTTGGTACCTGGTCAAGATTAGTAGCAACAGGAGCTAATGCTACTTCAAGGAATTCTCTTCTGTCTTTGGTAACAGCTGAAGCTAACACATATTTAGTGAATTCTTTACCCTTCCAAGTGAGGATAAAGTCACTAAGCACTATTTACATCACCAATAGGTGCACCAGAATATAAACTAGAATGGTATGTTTTATGTGTCAATTGTTATTTTAGAATTATTACTTTGTAAAGAGTTCACTAAGGTGACATAAGCCTGCTTATTAACGCTTTATTAATGGGTCATCACTTCTGGCGTAAACTAGGTTGCACGTTTGTTATCTTTGCATTTCTTTCTTATTTGCTATTTAAATGATCTTTAATCATTTGATTCAATTTATCTTTAATAATTAGCTCTTTAATCCCTGCCTTTTTTCATTGCATCTATAATTAATAAAGTGCCGTCAAGTAATTTCTGATCCCTGGCGACCGTATTGATATTGTCTCCTAACTGTCCTTCTCTTTGAGTCTTCAGGCTTCTGAATTGCTGGTTCATGACTGCTCTGATTGTATTTATTCTTGTTTACTGTCCAGCTTTCACATCCATTAACAACTACAGACAAGACCACAGCCTGGACAATTCTGATCTTTGTTTATAGAGACAAATCATTGCATTTGAATATCTTTTCAAGCTCAAGATTTATTTTCAGTAGAGGTGATCGGAACGAGGGGTAGTGATGTCTACAAAGCAAATATAGCCATGTTATTTACTATTTAAAACACCAGTGTCTTCTCAGTTTTATAGGTAATGTGAATAAAATTAAAGCAAATAATCCGCAAAAAAAGTTTGCTAGGGACTTGTTTGCTTTACAACACCCTGCATGCATTGCTCTACCAGGAATGGGTTAAATAAATATATGTTAACCAAATTCTTAACCATTTTGTGTAACAGCTTTTTGTGAAGGGAGCTTTTAGAGATATTAAACAATTCAGACGTCTGGTTCCTATCACCACCACTGTGAGACAATTCTGTCTCTGACTTTCTCTGGAATTTAATATTTTAAATTAAACCACTCTGAGTGACTTTGTCTACATCATAAACAGAGATGGCAGTGCTTTTGAAAAATATGAGATTTTGAAAAATAGGTGGAATTCCCCTTTAAACTAACTATAACTAGCAAGCAAGGTAGATAATTAGCCAAATTAGACACTTTGGAGTGACAAAAAAATACAACTAAAACATTTATCGCCATTTACATGACAGTTCCAACTGCCTCAAGCAAGTGAAAAAAAGAACTAGAACCATAAGTTCCGTTGGTTCTAGTTTGAGTCAGTTCTTAAATGTGCAGTGGACAAACAACCTATCAGTGAGGGGGAGTTACAAGGTGAGGTTTCTAATAAAGTGGCCAGCAAATGTGCACGTGTTTAAAACATTTAACGTGACATGATAAATTATTTTGACCAAAATTCTTTCTCTTTTTTGGTTCATTTAATGCCTATTTATAAACCATTAGCCTTATTATAAACCATTCAAATAGAACATTGAATATTTAGCGAGGGCAGTTACTGCAACCTTCTCTGATATCAGTTCAGCAGGCCAGTACTGCTCTAACAATTAACAAACGATATACTGTGCAGCCCTACTAGGAACGTTTTGTTTTTGGCAAATTGTCAGGTTTCCCCCTCCAGCCCGGAAAGCTCAGTTTTGGCAAAAGCCAGTAGCCGTGTGGATGTGATGAGGGAAGTGGAGGCCCAAGCAAAGCACTAATAATGTGAACGTTCTGACTCACCGTTTCTCTCTCTCATGCTCCAGCTTCACTCGCAGATCCTGTGCAAGGAACAAAAACAGGAGAATGGCATGAGTGCAATGGAAAGTGGTCGTCCTGCCGAGATCCAAAAAAACATTACAGCGCACACTGGGCGCAATCTATTCTACGAAGGGAAGTGAATAAACATTTATTGATCTCACATAAATAGCTCTATGGAAACAGAACAATGGAAAGAGCAGCTTTCAGCTTTTGGTACGCTAGTTAATGTCACAGGAAAGAACTGCTTATTGATGTTTTCTGCATATTGTGCATATTGTCGCTATCATAACAGAAGCTTGTCATGACATCTATGATATAAGATAAAATGACATGATTTTCTAAGAAAAGTTTTTGATTTTGATGTGACAGTGAAAATATGCACCGAATATAGGCTACTGCACCTGATGCAGTGCATGTTATAGTTTGTCATCATATGACAGACAGAAGTGAATTGAAAGTATCTTTAAAACACCCAGTGAATTCTTAAACAAACTGATCTTGAATGTTATCATATGACATGCATTACAAAAACAGAAGTGAGGTCAAAGTACATAGCCACAGCTGGTCCCCATACCCTGAACTGAGTCTGTAGTTTAGTGTTGTTTTCATTTGACTACATGCTGATTGTAAATCCACTTGAAACATCTAAGTTACTGGATCACTGAGTCGTCTAAATCACTGCATCAGTGAGTCGTCTAAATCACTGCATCAGTGAGTCGTCTAAATCACTGCATCAGTGAGTCATCTAAATCACGGCATCAGTGAGTCATCTAAACCATCATATCACTGAATCATCTAAAATCATTGCATCACTGAGTCATCTAAATCCCTGCATCACTGAGTCATCTAAATCCCTGCATCACTGAATCATCTAAATCGCTGCATCACTGAGTCGTCTAAATCGCTGCATCACTGAGTCGTCTAAATCACTGCATCACTGAGTCATCTAAACCATCATGTCACTGAATAATCTAAAATCATTGCATCAACTGAGTCATCTAAATCACTGCATCACTGAATCATGTACATCGCTGCATCACTGAGTTGTCTAAATCACTGCATCACTGAGTCATCTAAACCATCATATCACTGAATCATCTAAAATCATTGTGTCACTGAATCATCTAAATCACTGCATCACTGAGTCATCTAAATCACTGCATCACTGAGTCATACAAATCACTGTATCACCGAGTCACTGCATCACTGAGTCATCTAAATCACTGCATTACCGATTCATTTACATCACTGCATTAATAAATCATGTAAATTACTGCATTAATGAATCATGTAAATTACCGCATAACTAAGTCGTCTAAATCACTGCATCACTGAATCATCTAAATCACTGCAACACTGAATTATCTAAATCACTGAATCATTGAGTCATCTAAATCACTGCATCAGAATCATCCAAATCACTGCATCACTGAGACGTCTAAATCACTGTATCCCTGATTCATTTTAATCACTGCATCACAGAGTCATCTAAATCACTGCATCACTGAGTCACTGCATCACTGAGACATCTAAATAACTGCATTACTGATTTATTTATATCACTGCATTGCTGAATCACCTAAATCACTGTATCACTGAATCACCTAAATCACTGTATCACTGAATCATCTAAATCACTGCATAACCGAGACCTCTAAATCATTGTATCCCTGATTCATTTTAATCCCTGCATTACTGAACCATCTAAATCACTGCATCACTGATGCATGAGTCACACAAATGAGATATATTATTATTGCATATAGATATTTACACACGCATATAACACTTAGGGGATATATTATTATTGCAGTTGTATTTTTGCCCTGGTCACGGGACATATTTGTTGATTTATTTTAAGTGAAAATAGGTCAACACATCCTTAAAAAAGTACATTTTAGTGCTCAATTTTTATGTACTTGCTGAATTTAAAATATTTGGAACATATCTGGAGAGGCCACATTTTGCCATTTTGCACAGGCGACATTTTGAAGGTTTTTTTTGTGTTTTTTTTTTTGTTGTCCAATGTGTCAAATACAGCAAACAGTAACTGTGCATTAATATGTGCAGAAGTGTGTTGTCTGCAGAGGACGTGTTAACTTTCAGTTAGAAAATCAACAAAATGTCATTGGACGAGGTTGCTCAAACTTTGCCACATGACTGTATGCCAAATAAAAAAACGCAGCATATGTTTACATGACTGACACATGGGACATATTATTATTGCATATAGGTATAAATAATACACATGAAACATAAAAATGATTTCATATACTGACATAACAACAACAAACACGTCGCTCACAATCTTCTTATTTTCAGCGCTCACTCACACGCAGACTGATGAGCAATTGTACAGTCAATTCCCACAACAGCACTTAAGATATGTTTACTAATAGCATTCATGATGCTGGCAGCCGTGATGCCTTTGCATTAGCATTAGCGTGGAAATGCTTTTCAGTTCAGCTTGACTTTCCGCCTTTTGTTTCTGTTGCAGCGTGGCTCTGAAGTGTCATTTCAGAACAAAAAGAGAAAGTATGTGTGTGTGTGTGTGTGTGTGTGTGTGTGTGTGTGAGTGGGCGCACACTATGCGTGCAAGCCATTTATCTTTTACTCTGACTTGTGTCCTGTGCGGAGTGATAACACTGTGGAGAAAATAACAGTGATGAAAGGGTGCTTGTGGGTGACTCGGAGGAACAAACATGCACACGAAGGCATAATAAACTTCATGTTACGCGTAACAGCAGGATGTAAAGGCTTAAAAACTTTCAGTACAGTCTCGCTCAGCTGTGTCCTGTTTAAGAATGCATTCAGCAGTGCATTCGCATCCATTCAGGTCTTTGGGATCAATTAAGGACAATTGAAACGTGCGCCAAACAGGAACCTAAAGCAAACCTGAAGAGGCACTGCATGGATCAAAAAGGTGCTTTAAAATGGACTTCACTTGCTTTTGGTTTCTTCTAAGAGATGCACTGTGGGTAATGTAGTACTTAAGTGCAGTTACCTGTCTGTAGGTCTGAGTCCTGGTCTTGGGCTTGTGGCTGTTGTTGCTGTTGAGCTGGTAACAGCAACGCAGCGCTGCCAGATCCTTCATGATAGAGTTTAGAGCCTCCTCATCATCTGTAACACATGAACAGAGAGAGTTAGAAATGCTGAGTAAAGATATCATAGTGGTACATTTTTTTACTGTAACTTTAGTATATTAGACAGTATACGGTATCTCTACTCTACTCATAGCTACTCTTAACATTAGCCTACATGTGGCTACTACTATTATCACATGATCTACTTTACATTATGTTGAGCAATTCTGGTATTTCAAGCTAAATTTGTTACATAACCTTTCTGAAATCTGAGAGCTCATAGGGATTATTGTCAGTATGAACTGCTAAGAAGTTTACTTAGGTCTAAAAAGAGGGTTTCAATGTTCTAGAGATGAATACTCAGCCAAAAAAGCAGCATCCATGACATCCACTACCAACTACAGTTCTCCTCATCTAGTAACTGATGCAACTAGTCCACCAAGACACATATCACAGAGTAGGTCGGTACCTTACATGTAGCTTATAGCGTTTCAAAGATGCCAAGGACTCATGAAATTAACAATTAAAATTTAGGAAAGCTGATTCTGAAAACAACTTTAAAAGCAAAAAAAGGTCCTGAAAAGTCACATTTATGCCAGAAATGACACATAAGATTATGCATTTAACAGCTCTGAGTCCATTATCATTATCAATTCATAGACCTGAGCTGCCATCAGGGTGACTTCAAGACAGTCTTTTTGGAACCTTAACACTCACATTTAGTATTTTAGCAGATGTTCCTTGGATCACCTTTTTGGACCATATATATATATATATACATATATATATATATATGCAAACATATGTGTATCTGCTTGTTTTCACTGTTCACTGTCCTTTTTTTTATTAGTTATATGACTTTCATGCTTTTACTGCATTGTAAATTGCTTTGTTAAATAAGATGGCTACCAATGAGTTAATGCTGTGTTAACGTTGCTGCACTGTGCCCTGGCATGTCCCAAATGGGACTTTAAAGGAAACAGGTCGTTTTGCTGGGATTAAAAATAGACATCGCGCGCGTATGATGAATGACCATGGTGCGTCTACAGAGCCACAGGGAACGCCAACCAGACCAGTATTTCCACTTCAGATTCTATTGGTAGATTTTCCACCATGAAGATCCACATGCTTTGTTTTCACAAGAGCGCCAGCCACTGCCTATTTCCTCAATGGTGACATAAACCTACAGGCAATCTGATCTGGGGTCAGCGCGCACGACGCTGCACACGTGGCTGGCCACAAGTCTCTCTGCTAGCATGCCAGTATCAGCGCTAATGCTAATGGCATCATCTATTTTGACAGACCTGCTCTGCTTCAGTGCCTCAGGATCAGGAATCAAACCCTCTGCATGACAGAGGTAATGTGTGTGAGAGAGAGAGAGAGAGAGAGTGAGAGAGAGAGAGAGACAGACAGATAGAAAAAAGTGTTGAATAATGCAACACGCACTGTTAGCATAAAGCTAAAGGCACCAAATCCAGCTAGCTGTGAAGCAATGACAGGCTCGCATTGCCACAGGCTTCAAATAGACTGTGATAAAAAGAAATAAAGAAGTGAATCGATCAGCGAACAAAGTGGTTTTGTTTTAACCAGCCCTAGCGAAGGCAAAACTAATAGGCTAGCCCTCTCCCGTTCAATAACTGAAGTAAAACTTTGTTTGAGGAGTACAAAAAGGACCAATTATTTCTTTCTTCTGAAGACCAAAGAGGGTTTTCTGCAGACCTTGTCAAGACAAATGTGCACCGAATAGAAAACTGTTTCTTGGGATCAAAAAAAGGAAAGCATTAGCATCCTGGGAAACATTTAAATAGCCTGCATATCAGCCGCCACCTCGTTAGCCCCTATCCAGCAAACTGGGAGCAATCATGCAAATAACCGTCAGCATTAACATATCAAGAGGCCTTAATGGAAGCAATTAGCTGCATCTACTAATTACAGTCTGAGTGCAAGGTCATTCACCTCCGCTGTCAGTGAGAGGCCAGGAGACAAGAGTCTGTCTTTCTGGTGAACACATGGCAATTTATTGATTATCTGTATTTATAGTTTTCCTCAAGTTAGATGGTAGGTACTTTTTCCTCCAGTTTGTGGTAAACGATGTCTCATGAGGATGAAGCCACAACATCCTGAGGCATGAATGATGCTGACTCATGGCAGACGCCAGTCAGATCGAGTTTCCTCTGTTTTCCAAAAACTCCGCCAACTAGAGCTGGGCGATATATCATCTACACCGGTATACCAATACTGACGTACTGTAAAACTGCTCTCTTCACTTTTGGTGATACTTTTAGCAATATATTTGACTTTTATTTAATAGAATCATCTTTTGTATTGTAGTGATACTCTTATTTCATTGTTAAGTTTTGGTTTAAAATAAATGGGCTAAAATCTTGAAAGAGAGAATTGTCCAATCAGGATTTTTTCTCTGTGGTATCTAGGTAGGTACAGCCAAGTGAGCTCTCCCATTGGTTAGGACTTCAGGAGCTGAACTGAAGGCGTTACGCATCTGATTAACTACAAACATAATTAGTAATTGGCAGAGGTTTCAACCAATATGTTTTGATTTACAATGGCTGGAACCAATTTAGTGACAACAAACGATGCACTAGATCCTCAGAAAGTTCTAGATACACCCCTGAATGTGAATACAAATGGTAATCTAACCAGATTCCAGCCAGTTGTTAAAAATTAAAAACAGTGGCAACTCTATGCCAGGACTCTTTACTGCAAGACTGTAAAACTGCAACATACAAAGTAAATTATAAGTTTTATATATGTATATATGTATATAAAAACAATTTACAAGCATAATAAAACATATGGAATGGCCTTTACAAGCTTTAAATGTTGGTGTTTAATTTGGAACAGCCAAAAAGTCATGTGCTCCAGTGTTAGCTTAGCGCTAACATACTATTAGTAATACCATAGGGACGCTAAATTAGCGCCATCTTAAAGGTTAGTTTTTCTTATCTTTTCACAGAGTTTTTACATTGATGGCAAAACTGAAGGTCTAGCTCTGACAGTCACGGTTTGGCACCAATTATATCCCTAAAATAATGCTCATAACAAAGGGAGGGTCCCTTTTGCAGGAACAGTGTCCCAGTTTCTTTTTAGCTTTTCAATTCTATTTTGAATTAGCATCCAGTTGACTGCACTGTATACCATTCGCTAGGTGCTTCAGATTGAACATTTAAAATCTGTAAAATTTAAATAAATATTAAGTTTCATTTCTGGAAATGTGACTTCTGTCTGGTTCCCTCTGGTGTAATTGGAACAAAACAGTCCAATCAAACAAGTTATCTCAGGTATTTTTTAGCACAGAATAGCAGTACTGAGAAAAAATGGTTTCATCAAGTTTATTAACTCTAACTACATTAACACCAACTTAAATACCATATGATACAGCGACAAGGTGATATAAATATATATATAAAAAAAAAATCACTGTACTGAATTCTATCAATGTTGCCCAACACTACTGCCAATAATAGTAGTAAACCTTGGATAAGGGCTAAAGCAATAATGTTCAGATTGGCTTGTAAAGAGTGGTAATTGGACACTATGCTAAAACCATGACATGAAAATGATGTAAACTGAGGATATCCTGTAATGAAATCACTCTATGACTGGTTTAATGTGTTGGGTGATGTAAATGGTACATTTCTCTGTACTTTTGCAAAGCTTGTGAATGTAGGCTGACCATTAGGTTCTGCCAGTTTTAGTCATAAGGTTGTTTAAAATGCTAAACTAAAAGCAACAAACTAAAGCAGGAAGAATTCAAGCCTCAAAAACTAGTATTGCCATTATATTGCTTTATTTTGTGTTTTGCAATATATAAAAGCTTATACAGTCAGAGACTGGTCTGCATTATTTTGACCAAAAATAATATTCATCAAAACACCAATGGAAGCTCATCTACAACTGGGACTGGTCAGAATGTTAATAACACTGTGATTGGTTAGCAGGCTCATTTGCATATTACAGTTTCCTGCAATATCAGTCTTGCAAAGCCCAATATCATGAGAATGATTACAAGTGATATACTGGGCAGCTCTATTCTACATTGACTTTTTTAGACTTTTTGAGGCTTTATACTAGATGTTGGAACATTGCTGTGAGGATTAGATTGCATTCAGTCACAAGAGAATTAGTATGGTTAAGTACTGATGTTGGATGATTAGTTCTGGATCAGCTCATCCCAGAAGTATTGGATGGAGCTCCATCACTCCAGAGAAAACATTTCCACTGCTTCACAACCCAATGGCAGAGGGGCTTTATACCCCGTCAGCATGCTTGGCATCAAGCATGCTGACCTTATATTCATGTGTGGCTGCTCCAGAGTGTCCTATTCTATTGGTTAATGGCAATTACAGAAGTTATGCATGCGCAATTGAATGTCTGTGTCAGCATAAATGGGTGATAAATGGCTTCGTATCACCTTCTCCAATGTGGTTTTGTCTTGAGTCATTAAATCACTTGATGACTGGTTCAAAACACATGGTGATGTCAGACCGAAAACTGGCATTTAGCTCACAAAAATGGACACTAAAACACTGTGTGATAGAAAAGAACGGAGTTCCGAGATCAGAAAGCTAACAAACTTTCCCTCAGGCAACATGTTCATTCAAGAGAAACAGCTGAAGGAACACAAATCTCTGGACTGAACTTTACTTTCACTCTGCATCTTTCATACTGAAACCACTTTGTACCTCAAGTAGGCGATAGTGAGTCCCTGTAGCGTCGAGCCTGTCAAGTTTCAAGTTCAAGTTTCTAGTTTATCTGTCATTTGCACAACATGTCAGGACATTCATGCATTGAAATGCTTGTGGTGAAGTAATCACTCTACAGAAAGTAAACAAGTAAAAATAAAAATACAAAGTAAATACTGAAACTGAAATATATTAAATATATACAAAATATACAAAAAAAGTAATAAATAAAACTCTCAGCTATGTACAAATATATTTATACTAAACATGGGATAATCTGTTTAGAATATATACATTTAAAGTGACTTAAGTGACTTAGTGTTATTGTTATTTA